ATCAATATAAACAATTTAAATTTATAGCTTAATATGTGGTTTTAAACAAACTAGATAATATAAGCTTATGGTTCCACATATAATATTTTTTTTTTTTGGTGAGGCAATTGGGGTTAAGTGACTTGCCCAGGGTCACACAGCTAGTAAGTGTCAAGTGTTTGGTCTGAGGCCAGATTTGAACTCAGGTCCTCCTGACGTCAGGGCCGGTGCTCTATTCACTGTGCCACTTAGCTGCCCCCACATATAATATTTTTAAAAATTCTTCTTTGTAAATTTAAATATTGGTGTTTGTTCACGGTTTTTAAGTTTATAATTCAAAATAAACATTCCCTTCTCATATCCTAATACCCTTATAAAATACCCATGGAAATACCCATGCCATATCCCGTTTAGCCCTCCTACACCAGCCTCATGAGTGTGTGTGACCATGGACAAGTCAACTAACCTCTTTATTACCATTTCAGGTACATTAGGCGGAGCTCTTAGACAGTGGGACAAACAGGAAATTCAGTACAAATTTCTCCAGTTTGGTAGATGATAGATTTTCAACTAAGAGGGAAGTTACAACTCATCTGGTCCCACCGCATACAGAAACTGAGGCACCTGGAGTTTGAATAACTTCTACTGACACAGACTAGAGGAAAGAGTGCTCAGACTGGAGTCGGGAGAGCCTTGCCTCTGAAACTATCCAGTCATATCACCAAGAGCAAATTAGTTGCTTTCCCTTGATCTCAGTTTCCTTATCTGTAAAATCAGAATAGTCATAGTACTTCCTTCCCAAGCTTGTTGCGAGGATAGACTGAGATAATTGTACGTCAAGCACTTTGCAAACCTCAAAGTGATATCTGAATATCAGCAATTATTTTTTACTGTTGCAATTGCTGTTGTTCTAATTTGCTTCTGACCTTGGCCTTGACCCTCCACAGGAAAGATATGTAGACACAGAATTAAAATCATATTTAAGAACGCATTATGCCTTCTGAACAAAACCTTTGGAGGAAATGCGATAAATCTCTAGTGAAACAGCAACACTGAAAATAAGTTACAAAAATTCAGATACCAAAACAAAGATGAACTATCTTAACGGAAACCAAATATTCTTGGCTCTAGACCCCAATAATAAAAGTACTTTCTGGGGATAAGTCAGCTTGTGGTATCAAGTTGCAGTAAAAGAATAATTTGCATAGTACATTCTTCCTGAACATTATGTTTCCTTTGATTCAAATCATCAATATAAAATTAGCAGTGAATAGTATAAGAGCATAGGGCTCCCAAGCTTTAAGAAGATATATACATATATAGTTTTTTTTCCCCTAACTTAATAGTCTTTTAGAAAAGAAAAAAAATTCCACGGGACAGCCAGGTGGTACAGTGGATAAAGTGCTGGACCTGGAGTCAGGAAGATTCCTCTTCTTGAATTCAGATTCCTAGCTGTGTGACTCTGTACAAGTCACTTAACCCTGCTTGCCTCCGTTTCCTCATCTGTAAAATGAGCTAGAGAAGGAAACGGCAAACCTCTTCAGTCTCTTTGCCAAGAAAACCCCAAATAGGGGGCAGCTAGGTGGTGCAGCAGATAGAGCACCAGCCCTGGAGTCAGCAGAACCTGACTTCAAATCCAGACTCAAGACACTTAACACTTACTAGCTGTGTGACCCTGAGCAAGTCATGTAACCTCAATTGTCAAAGGGGGAAAAAAAAAGAAAACTCCGAATGGAATCATGAAGAATCAGATGTGACTGACACAACCGAACAACAACAAAGAAAAAAAATTCTTTGACTTTGGACAAATTATCTCTTTAGTGCCTTCCAGTCCTAAAATTCTGTGATTTTATGGATCACAGCATCTATGAAGCATCATCCTAAATTGAACTGTCAAAAAAGTTAAGATAAAGCTATAGGGGGCTGCCTACAGTTTATTTGAGTAAAGCGTGACCTGATCATGGCAGTGCATTTAGGGAAATATCAGAGAATTGAGCCAGAATTTGCTTAAATTTTTTCTTTATTTCTTGGAACTGAAAGAGAAGATACATTTCACACTCAGATGCAGAATCTTCTTAATGCTGTGAAGAAACGCTTCGCCGAGTTAGAGCAAAGCTGGAACATTTGTGTAATATTTTGAGAAGACACGAAATCAATTAAGGGTGATGTCAAGTGAGGAGATTAATGAGGGTATTCAAATTTGGGAGATTGATGAAGGCATACAATGTAAAGTCAGGTTCAGCAGCCAGTCGGATTCCTTTTTCTTTCCTCTAGTTGACTTCATCCTGGAGAGTCAATCTAATTCTATTTAATAAACATTTATTAATCATTGTTGTTGTTTGTCCTTTGTTCTTGAAGAGGACCATGACATCAGGGAGGTGATGCCATGACTCACAAGTGAGTTGGATTTAAGTGAGGGAGGGCTGTGCAAGGTCACCAGCCTCACTTTCTCCTCCTGAGTCATCTGGGCCCAGTGGTGAGATATAGATCAGGGCGACTGGAGACCGCCCCTATGCAATGGGAGACCTTAGCCTTTTTAAGCTAAAGTCTTCAACAGGTCTCAGTTTGACTGAGGCAACACCCATTCAGTGATTAAGGCTAGATAGGAAATAAGGAAGAGTGGCCTCTTTACCTAGTCAAAAAAAAAAAATTTGGTTGACTAAACATTGTTCTAGGAATAGAAAGACAAAAAAGAAAATGGTGCCTGCCCTCAAAGAGCTTAAATTCTACTGGGATGAGTCATCCCCCTAGAGATCATGGGAATGGGTGGGTCTTCCAAAGGTGCTGGGATAGAAGTGCCTCCTTGACTAATTCTTCTTCCTGGATTTCAGAAAAACAGGGCGATGGCCTTTGAGGATGAGCCAGTCAGTGCCAAGGGAAAAACAAAGCCTTCCTTGTAAATGTTGGTAAAGAATCAAGCCACAGAGCTAAGTGCACCTGCCTGTCTTTGGTCTACAAAGAGAGGTGTCCAAACTGGGCTTGGGGAACCCTGGAGACAGCCTCCATCCCAGCCTGGGGACAGAGGATGAAGCAGCAGGCTGGGGAACTTTGGCTGTGGGGGCCTCAGATCCAGCTGATTCACCGTGAATGTGTCAGTGTGCACATGAAAAGCCCACTAGGATTACTGAACAGAACATGGAAAAACTGCTGGGCTGATGGTCACTGGGCTGCAGTAAGGTCTATGCTAAGCAGTGGGAAAAACAAAAACCTGGTTATGGAGTCAGTTGACCTCCCTCTGCCACTTAATAGCTGGCTGACCCGAGGCTTTACCTCCCTAACCTCAGTTTCTTTATCTGTAAAATAAAAGTATTGGGGTTAGATAACTCCACCTCTAGAGCTATGGACCTATGTTTATAGATACAGAAGAGAATAAATTAAAACCTTGGTCTGACTTCATAAAAATAATATTAACCACAGGAATTTAGGAGAACTGTATGATTTATGATTGGTTACTATTTATGGAGTGTGCTAGTAAATGTTTAGCAACCAGTTCTCCGGGGGTGGAGGGGGGGGATATGTATGTAGTATGCACTTTTAAATTAATCTGAATTATTAACATTTTTTCCTGTCATCTTCTTAAATCTAAATGATCTTCAAAACAATGAAATCAAGCCCTGATTTATTGCATTTGCTGATTTCCCACACTCACTGAAAATTTAGCAGTCCACTCACTGATCTGGTGGAAGCCAGCTTCAGCATAGAGATAGCCCTGGTGCTCAGTCAGTCAACAAGCATTAATTAAGCACCTACTATGTGCCAGACACTTTGCTAAAGCATTGGTATACAAATGTCAAAAGACAATCCTTGATGTGAGGGGGCTCCCGGTCTCTTGGAGACAATGTGCAAACAATCCAGACAGACCAGAAGAAGAGATCATGAACAGAGGGAGGGTAGGGGCCTTGAGGAGGTTTGGGCCAGGCTTCTCAAAGGCTAGACCAGTGGAGGAGGGCTCCAATAAGCTCCAGAGACTTTGGGTTTGGGTTCAGAGAGTCTTTTTTTGGTTTTGTTTTGTTTTGTTTTGGGCAATTGGGGTTAAGTGACTTGCCCAGGGTCACACAGCTAGTAAGTGTCAAGTGTTTGGTCTCAGGCCGGATTTGAACTCAGGTCCTCCTGACTTCAGGGCCGGTGCTGTATCCACTGTGCCACTTCGCTGCCCCAGAGAGTCTTTGAATGACTAACTTGGACAGAGTTTGGAAAGACTCAAACCCAGAGGGTTGTCTACTGAACCGTGAGCAGTGGCCTCCCCAAGGCCATCTGCTAAGGCCTGGCTGCACTCTGATCTGCTTTAGTGTGGGAAAATCCCTTCCCATCGAGTCACAGATTCTGAATACTTAAGTATAAACCCCCTCGTTCCCTGTGTATTATTAATATGTTTCAGACTAGCTGTGCAAGTTGTACTTGATTATAAGCACTAAACTATTTACATATGAATAAACTAAACTACTTGTATATATATATATATATGTATAATTTATAATGTGTTCATCTAGGGAAGAGAAGGGAACAAGCATTTATTAAGTACCTACTAGGTGCCAAGCACTTTGCTAAATGCTTTACAAATGTCTTATTTCATCCTCACAGCATCCCTACTAAGTATCTCTTATTTTACAGATGAGGAAACTGAGGCAGAAAGAGGTTAAGTGACTTGCCCAGGGTCACACAGCTAGGAAGTGTCTGAGGCTGAATTTGAACTCAGATCTTCCCAACTCCAGGCATGGTACTGCATGCACTGTGGTGCCACCTAACAGAGAAAGGGTTCGACTGTGAGGGAGCCTTTGTTCTTGTAAGGGGAGAGATGATTTTTCCCTAGCTTTCAGCCCTACAGAGCTGCTCGGTGATAGATGGCCTCTGTCACCCAGGCAGCAGAGTGAAGGGTGAAGATGATTCCGGTAACCTAGCACCCGGCCCAGAGAAACATCCCAGAGCTGGCGCCTTACCTGAGCTAAGAGCGAGGCGGCAGCAGCCTGTCTTTGTATGTAAAGGGCAGCGCCTAATAATCATGCCCGTTGTTTGAATTACAGTTCAAATTGCCTTAGTATTCGGTTCCAAAATCCTGCAATATGTCACCAATCTGTGCAAAGGGAAATACGATTTCCTCGAGCGGCTCTCTGACACTCTGCTCCTGCGCATCATTTCTTACCTGGATCTTGAAGACATTGCCAGGCTGTCTCAAACATCTCACAGATTTGAAAAGGTAATAATAACAATAGCAATAATAATACCTTATTTTATACCTATTTGGAATCCTGTATGTTAAAAGTGATGTGAAGACAAACACATGAAATACTCGGTGACGTTGCTGGTGGGGTTTTTCTCAGGCGGAGATCAGTCCATTTTAACAAAGAGGCTCTTATGAAAAGTGTTCTTTAGGGATCTAGAATTTAGACTTTGGTCCACAGTGTTTGTTTGTTTTAATCTGTGATGTTAAACCAAGACTATTGCCAGATCTCCACTAACTAATGGTCAGGGTATCCCTAAGTCTTCACCCTATGAATAAGCCAAATAAACATTGTGGTCTTCTCACAAAGTACTTAGTGTTAGGGTTGGGTATTATAAGTCCCTGATGCTTCCACAAACAACCTTATCATTGATTGACCCTCATTCCCCAGGGTCAAAGGCTGGTGTTCATTATTCTTCTTTACAGGCAGGGAAGCTACCTCCCTTCTATCATATTTAGGCAAAATGATACTAATTAACTCATGTTTTTCCAAGACCATCTGCTACCATGTGTTGTTCAGTCATTTTCTGTTATATATCCGACTCCCCGAGACCCCATTTAGGGTTTTCTTGGCAAAGATACTGGAGTGGTTTTACATTTCTTTCTCCAGCTCATTTTGCAGATGAGATAACTGAGGCAAACAGGGTTAAGTGACTTGTCCAGGGTCACACAGCTAGTAAGTGTCTGAGGCTGGTTTTGAACTTATTCTTCCTGGCTCCCAAGTACAGCTCTGTATCCATTGTGCCACATAGGCGTCAACTCTTTAATTTGAGTTTCAGGGATCTTCTGTCTTCAGCCCCATTGTTCCATGCCCACAATGTGAGTACTTTGCCGTTTATCTTCCAGAATGAAAGCACAGTGCTGAGGCTGCTTGGCTGTGTGCTTTCTTCCGGTCAAAGTGGACATCTTTGGATGTTACATGCAGGGAGAACCAAGTCTTTTCTTTGTCCAGAGTGACCCAGAGCTGGGGCCCTTTGGAGCTAAAAACTGGTGTGTGTCTATTCAAAAATGCCCCCTGGATTTTTGTTGTTTTAACATTTTGTGAGTTCAATCCACTTATTATTTTAATGTGGATTTTTAAATTTTTTACTTTGTCTTAAAATGAGGACACCTTAAGACAAATAGGAAGCCAAGCAGGAGAGCCTCGGGTCATCTTTGATGAATCCAGGTTCCTGGGTCTGTGTGGACTTTGTTCCCTGCCCCTGAAAGAACAGGGGTTAGAATAGAATAGAACAGAAAAAGAAGAAACCTGTTGCTGCACTGTCTGATATGTGAAGCAAGGACACAGTTTATTCTAATTTTTTTTTTAAAGAAGAGAGAGGAACTTGTAAGCTCTACACCAACAAACTCGCCTTCAGTTCCTGGCAAAGTCTTAGAACATATTAAAGCGATGACTAGTGAGCAACAGAGATCCAGCACAGTTTCATCAGAAATAGAGCCTCCCAGACCAAGCCCATTTCCTTTTTTTTGGTTTTTTTTTTTTTAGGCAATTGGGGTTAAGTGACTTGCTCAGGGTCACACAGCTAGTAAGTGTCAAGTGTTTGATCTGAGGCCGGATTTGAACTCAGGTCCTCCTGAGCCCGGGCCGATGCTCTATCCACTGCACCACCCAGCTGCCCCCCATTTCCTTTTTTGACAGGGTTAGTAGAGTGGTGGATCAGGGCCATACGGTGGGTGTAGGTTACCTGGATTTTGGCAGAGTCCTGTTATGCCAGCTTTGTGGTCAGATGGAGAGAAGGGATTGAGAGAAGGTGAGCTAGGTTCTAGTATATCTCACAGACTTCAAAAGCTTGATTTTATAGCTCTATGGAATCCTTGTTTTATATCTCTGTGTCCATATCTATATTATTTTATATCCATATAGAATCCCAGGAGGCCTCAGCACCCATTGGATGGCCAGATATAAAGATTAATAAACCATTACTGATTTGATGTCAGTGTTGAAGGGAGTCTGTGTGCAGTGAAGGACCCCGCAGATTTTCTGGCCTCGTGCTGCTTGACATTTTTATCAGTGACTCAGATAAAGGCATAGGCAATACACTTATAAAATTTGCAGATGACAAAACATTAGAAGGAATAGTTAGTGGTTGGGTGGCAGAATCCAAAAAAAGGATCTCAGCTTATTGGGCCAAATCTGATAAGATGAAATTTTGTGAGGATAAGTATAAAGTTTTACATTGGCGGTAGAAAACCAGCTTTGTAAGTACAAGAGACAGCTAGCTGGGTGGTACAATGGATAGAGTGTGAGGCCTGGAGTCAGGAAAACCTGAGTTCAAATGTAGCCTCAGGCATTTACTAGCTGGTGATCCTGGGCAAGTCACTTAACCTTTGTCTGCCTCAGTTTCTTCAATGATAAAATGGGGATAAATTATAGAACTTATCAAGTGAGTTAGTATTTGTAAATCATTTAGCACACAGCCTGGCATGTAGGACGTGCTTAATGAATGCGTTGTCTTCCCTTTCCCCTTTTACTGAGCTTGTAATTCACTGATAGTCCTCAGATCTTTTTAGCCATGTGTCCTCCAATCCTGTAGTTGAGGAGTTTAATTTTTTTATTCCTCTTAAGCTTCCTTGTACTAGCTTGAGTCCACTGTGGTAGCCCAGTGACATCTTTGGAGCCTGATTCTGCCATCCAATGCGTTAGCCATCCCTTCCCAAGTTGGGTCTCCTGCCTTTTAGAGAAGTCACTGATAAAAAACATTCAAGCTTACAGACGAAGCCACCAATTCCAGAATCACACGGACAAGAGAACAGGACGTTAAAAATGAAAAGTGCCATAACACAGAATTATTATTATCATAATGTGCCATTAGCACAGCATGCATAGGGACAATGTCCATTGAAAAATACCAAACTCAGAAAGAATTTCTTGTGTTCTTTTTAAGGACAGCACAGTAATTATTCTTTTGTCCTTCAGAGAAAGAAAGCAGATGTCCATTTCCAGGTACAAATATGTGAAACAGAAAGTTGGCATCCCCCAAATCAGGGATTCTTTGGAATAAAGCACTAGGTCTTTGCTATCCTTGAGCTTAGCTTTCTTTAAAAAAAAATCTAGATTTTGGTTCCATATTGTTTGAAATTCTTATTTGTTTAGATACATGTTTAACTTGTATTCCCCGCCCCCCAAAGGAATATTTGTTAGGAGAGAAATAAAAGTATTTAGTACTTCCATTTTATTTTGTGTCATTATTGAAAATACACTAAAGCCCAGATTTTAGTGGGACTGAGACAAAGTTAGAGCAGAGAAATAAACAAGACTTTAGATGGGGGGAAAGATCCTTCAGAATTCAGTCATTTGTTTGTGTTTCCAAGTGTAAATAGCAATTGTTTCTGTTCTGGCCAGAAACCCTGGAGGTTTTCCCCTCCCAGATTGATTTTTTTTTTTAAGGAGGCAAACTAGACCATCTTTTGCCTCATTTCTTACCTACCTTTAAATCACTGAATGGGTGTTGCCTTAGACATACTGAGACCTAGGAAAGACCTTAGCTTAAAAAGGCCAAGGTCTCCCCATTGCATTTGGGGCCATCTCCAATTGTCCTGACCTATGTCTTGCCCCTGGACTCAGATGACTCTGGAGGAGAGAGTGGGGCTGATGACTTTGCACAGCCCTGCCTCACTTAAATCCAATTCACTTGCAAGCCAAGACGTCATTGTCTTTGGTGTCATTGGTCCTCTTCAAGAATGAAGGAGGAACAACAACAAACAAATATGCAACTGTCCTATAACTTCTAGTCTTACTTTTGATGAAAGGTTAAGTGAGCTGCCCAGGGGCCCCAGAGTTGGAAGGGATCTCAGTGTCCATCTCATTATGCCACACCTAAGAGCAATCTCAACTATTGGGTTAAATCTAATAAAATGAAATTTTGTGAGGACAAGCGTAAAGTTTTACATTTGGTTTAGAAAACCAGCTTTACAAATACAACTATGACATGCCTGACGAATGGGCACCTCGCCACGTAAGGAAGGGACGCCCAGTGCTTCCACTTGGGGACGGTTCTCCCGGTCAGTGTGACCTTCAGGCGTCCCTGTGGAGCACAGTCGACTGCCTGGAATTTCCTTGTGTTGTCACCCTTTCTTTCTGGAAAAAGGGGAACCCTCTTAGGCCATACCTGCCTTCTCCGATGGGCTGCTTCAGGGGTGGGACTACTGGTGCCCTTCTGGTTCCTTGGAGTGAGGAGGTAGAGATTCATACCCAAGGGGCCTGGTTACAGTGGGTAGACATATTATTCTAATGACAAAAGAAAAGTCTCAAATTCAGTTTATAGTTTGGCTTATTTGGAGGTTTAGCCAGATATATAAGTTATTAATAAAAACCATAGTAACAATTTGTCATGTCCCTAGGCAGCCTCCAGCTCCCAAGCTACAGAGGTAGCTGGTGGTGTGGTAGATAGAATGCTGGTCCTGGAGTCAGGAAGACCTGAGTTCAAATCCCGTCTCAGATGCTTACTAGCTATGTGACTCTGAGCAAATCACAACTTCTAATTGCCTCAGTTTCCTCATTTGTAAAATGGAGATAATAATAGCTCCTACATCGTAGAGCTGTTGTTGTGAAGATCGTGTGAGATAACCTTTGTAAATATTTTAAAAATATATGTGAGATAATATTTGTAAAAAGTGCTTAGCACAGTGCCTGACATAAGAGTAGTCACTTTATAAATGCTTTTTCCCTTCCTGTACCAAGCTGGAAAGGAAACATCACAGCCAATTAAATTTTATGTGGTCAATTAACCAAAGGTTTCACCGTTTATGCTCTAGGGACGAGACCAAAATACATGACATTTCATGGTTACTTATATATTTATGTAGACTAAAAGCAAAGTCAGTGTAAAAGAATGACTTAAAACATAGTGAAGAAACAGATCAGAAGCAAGTTCTGGGTGGTACCCAATTATGGAGAAAAGCAGTAGCAATGGGGAAATGGGGAAGAGAAAAAAAAAACCTTTTTAAAAAAAAATTTTTTTTATTAACTTTTTTCA